GACGTGTGTATACGTATACCAACTAAATAAAACTAATAGGTACTTACAATATACATATATATCTATATATATATACATATATATATATATATATATATATTAACCCTGAACCCCTAGAAACCCTAGAAAACATCATTACAAATGTGTATTTCACTTGTGCAAATTATTAGTACTTGTTGCTCGTTCGACAATCACTGTAAACCCCTTCGTGTACTCTCCACAATACGATTGATCGATATTATTTTCTCGCCCTGCATTCATTTTCTATGTGTACCTCTGGTGCGAATTGGTGATACTCTTTTGTGTCCGTCTGTATTCCTTGTATGTGTGTCTCTCTATCCCCTCCTGGCATTTGTGCACCTCATTCACCTACTAAACCGTGTTCTGTGAACCTCTTCCCAATCAACATATATGTCCTCTCCATGTTTGTGTGTTTGCCTGTATTTCACCTAGTATAATGTAGTCATTGACCCTCACTTCTGACTTGACACTTACATTACCCCGTTGTGTGTGTGCACGCATTCCGTTTACCTACATAGGTGGTGGCCGATCGCATGTCTCGTCTGGCGCGGCTGTGCTGCCGTGCGCTGGGTGAACGAGGGTTCTCCATTGGCATTGAAGATGTAACGCCATCCCTGGACCTGTCCAATTCCGTATCTGATATGTGTGGGACTGGGTATGTGTGGCTGTACCTACTTTCTGAAGTATGCTTGAAAAATGTTCAATTCCGTCTCTGATATGTGTGGTACTGCGAATGTGGGGCTGTACCTACTTTCTGAAGTATGCTTGATAAATGTCCAATATCGTGTCTGATGTGTGTGGTACTGCGTATGTGCGGCTGTACCCACTCTCTGAAATATGCTTGATAAATGTACAATATCGTCTCTGATGTGTGTGGTACTGCGTATGTGCGGTTGTATCCACTCTCTGAAGTATGCTTGATAAATATACAATATCGTCTCTGATGTGTGTGGTGCTGGGTAAGTGCGGCTATCTTTTGTTTCTGAAGAGTGCTTGGTATGAGTCGTATTCCGTCTCTGATATGTGTGGTACTGGGTATGTGCAACTGTACTTTGTTTCTGAAGAGTACTTGGAATAATTCTTGTTCCACCTCTAATGGTGTGGTACTAGGTATTTGCGACTGTACTTTGTTTCTGAAAACAGCTTGATAATAGTTAAATTCCGTCTCTGATATGTGTGGTACAAGGTATGTGCGACTGTAATTTCTTTCGGAAGTCTGCTGGAACTAGTGAATGGTGTGCATATACGAAGAAAGTGGATACAAGATAGGTAATAGTTCGTTAGGATTACATCTATATATATATATATTATTTCAAGTATATAATATGCGTGTACTATAGCGGTATGTACTAGAAAGAGCTAATACTGGTGGGCAACACAATGTATATTCGACATGTATTATATAGCACACGTGTTTATATATTCTGCCTGTGTTTGTATTTGTGATTTATTGGTTGTGCATTGACACGTACGTGTGTATCCTAGACCATTAATCATCCCACCTGGTTCGCTGAGGTTTGCATACTCGTGTCCAGTACGTTTGTTCCATTCCCATATAAGTTCAGGCTGCCGTTGCATTCGACACGAGTTATTAACAGATATGTATACACACACACGTAAAATTGTCAGTTTGCCTACATGCACATACACAATCGTCGATGAAACCCTCACAGTCACACGCTATGCAACCACGCTCCCAGATATGTCGAGTGTGACCAATACATCCAGGACTTTAAGGAGAACAAACTACGTCTCTTGCCTGGGTGTTCGGCTGAGGAGAGTCTGGAGGCCGAGGTTTCGCGGGTGCTGAACAAGCTACGCGAGAAAGCAGGCAAGCTGTGTCTGGCTGGGCTGATGCGGTACAACGCCCCAATGGCCATGACTAACTGTGGGTCTAAAGGGTCGGAGAATAACATAGCCCAGATGATCGCGTGTGTGGGGAATCAGGTGAGTGGGGTGACTCAACTGAGGCGGTGCGTGTAGAGCTGTTGGGTGTAGTGTGGTGTAGGGGTGCGTATTGAGCTGTTGGAAGTAGTGTAGTGAAGTGGTGCGTGTCGAGCTGTCGGATGTAGTGTAGTGTAGGGGTGCGTGTTGAGCTGTTGGGTGTAGTATAGTGTAGGGATGCGTGTTGAGCTGTTGGGTGTAGTGTAGTGTAAGGGTGCTTGTTAAGCTGTTGGGTGTAGTGTGGTGTAGGGGTGCGTATTGAGGGTTGGGTGTAGTGTAGAGCAGGGGTGCGTGTTGAGCTGTTGGATGTAGTGTAGTGTGGAGGTGCGTGTTGAGCTATTGGGTGTAGTGTGGTGT